TAGGGTTTACGTTTCAGGGTGCAGGGCTTAGGGTTTCTTGAGTTTAGGGAAGACCTAAAGCCCAAACTCTCAAACGCCTGAACCTGAAACAAAACCCTAGGCCTTCTGGGTTTGGGGTTTAGGGTTTAGGGTTTAGGGTTTAGGGTTTAGGCCTTCCAAAAAGCAATCTCCACGACATCCTACATTTTGGATTGCGCTGTAGTTTTGTTAGATCCCACAAGGGCTCCTTTGTTTAGGAAACCTAGACCGTTGGGTTTCAGGGCTTGCGCTTGTGCAGCATGCTGAGTGATGTCTTGGACGGGCTTGGGGTTTGGGTTCAGGGGTTTGGGTGTAAGGTTTTGGTAATGGTTTGGTTTTGAATGTTTTGGCAGCAAGTGTAGCTCTTGTTGAGGTGTTACCGTTTGGCATCGCCGCTGTTGTTATTGCCTCACGGCCATTATGGCTATTACTCTTAGGGCCGTTGCTGCTATCACTGGCCGCAGCGATCTATATAGTTTGGTTCGGGTTGACGTCTCAGGGTTTACGCTCCTGCGCGTCTTTCGTTGATTGCTTTTTGTTGGTGGAGGTGGGGAGTGCGACATAGATCTTGGTATTGGAGATGACTCGAGTTTTCGGGTTCTTTTTCCACACTATCAGTGTCAGATCTGGGGTTTCAGGGGTTGTTTTTTTTGGGGGGTTTGGGGTTTAGAGTGCGATATCTTTGGCTTTCGTGGTATGCTACTTCTTCATTGTTTATGCCCTAAGCCTAGACCGAAAGCCAAATCCGTGGACACAAGCCCTAAGCCCAAACCCGCCAACCTCTAGGAATCAGCCCCCGCCACCAGGAGGAGAGGGAAGCGCTGATGGAGGACGAGATGTTTTGCCCTTCATGATGTCTTGCGTTACTTTGCCTCGGGATGTTCACGGGCGGATGTTGTTCGCGGAATCGTTGGTCACATGCGAATGCCTTACCATCTACATGGTAGAGCATGTTCACATAGAAGTGCTAGAGGATAGGAGGGGCACACGCTGCCAGCATTGACCTCATCTCATGAACTGCTTCGTCCTTACAGTCGTTCAGCTCGCCGTCGCTGCCCGCAGCTGGAATTCGATGCATAGCCTTCTTCACGAGTAGTTCTCTGCATCCGACTCAGCAAACGCTATTTGGCACGTATCATCCTAAACCCGAGCCCAGCACCCTGCCCTGCGATCCCGACTGCAAGTCGGAGAACCCGGTTTAGGGTTTAGGGTTTAGGGTTTAGGGGTTTGGGGTTTAGGGTGTTTCTGGCAATACGCTACGATTACGAGCTTTCAAGCAGAAAGATATCAGAAGGTTGCAGGAGTCATTCCAAGCCTGAGCATTATGTACTTGGAGGTTCATGGGAGTTATAAGTAGGGTTATAAGTAGGGTAACTATAATTATAACCTATATTAGGGGACTTATAACTCCACTTATAACTACCCACGACCTCCAAGTACCGTGGGTTTTCAGCTTCAGTCTTCAAATGATCCTAGCCTGGGGCCTTTTTGTGGTTGCGTGCACCCATGGACGGAGACAGCGATGTGCTGCCGAATGCTTTCCTTGGCTGGAAGGCTTGTCTGCTTCAGCAGGGGTCATGTAGGGTTTAGCCATTTCGGGCCGCAGAAAGCATAAGATAAGATTAGGTTTGGGATGCCGAAATGCAGATACATAGCTCGCGAAGAAATGGGGGTTTCCGAAAATAGGGGACCCTAATATAGTATCCTAAATAATAGGATCCTCATTGTAAGGACCCCAAATAAGGTACCCCTTGTTTCCGGAAACTCCCAAATGCTTCCGCATTTCAACCATCGAGAAGTGCAGGCCCAAAGAACCCTAAACCCTAAACCCTAAACCCTAAACCCTAAACCCGAAACCCTAAACCCTAAACCCTAAACTCTAAACCCTAAACCCTAAACCCTAAACCCTTGTAGGTGGCCTCGCTGGCGTCAGAAAGCAGCCGGGGGCCGCGCCCCTCGCGGCTGCACTGGGCGAAGGCTGGGGTGGCGAGTAGTGCTGCATAGACTTTAGGGAAGTGAGGGTTTGCAGGGGTTTAGGGGTTTAGGGTTTAGGGTTTAGGGTTTAGGGATTCAGGGTCTGACGGCTATGACTGACTGAGGGTTTCTCGTGTTGTAGGCATGTCGGGCGATGGTTTTTGTTCGATTCCAGTTCAGGTCAGAGGAACCCGCTGGGACGCCCGAACGCGTGCAGAGAATTGTGGGTAGTTAAATAAACGTGGATACCCGGATGATACCAGGGCCTTAGTTGAGGCTGGATGTAGCTACAACTATAGCTACTTCTCGTGTAACTACCCATAAGTCTTTCAAGTAGATCCCAAGTGACGACTAGGTTTTTCTTCGCATCGGGTTTCCACGTCACAAGAATGGACTCTGTCTGGCGGTGATCGGCAGTGTCCCCCAACCCCAAATCCTAAACCCACGACGCAAACCACGATTGATCTGCCCTCGAGGCTTGCGCCGCACACGAGGTGCGCGAGAAGTCCCTGAAGCGCTGCTGGGCGGCGTGTTATAATGCTGGCTTACGGTTTGGGGTAGGCGGCTGAGGGTTTATCGAAAGGCTAGTAGACCCCAGAAACCATTGGAGTATACCCCAAACTAGTAGGAGCTTTATCATAAGGACCCCAAAACAAGGTATAGTACCCTAAATAGTAGGGTCCTTATCAGCAAATCCGCTTGGCTGGCGGTCCCCAATAGTTACCTGCCCGAGCTGCGACAAGCAGCTCAGGCCCCGCCTCTGCACCTCAGCCTCCCTGTTTTCCATGTTCTGAATATTACCTATATTGTTTTGGGGGTGTTATTATTATTAGTATTATTATGAGTACAGTATAACGGGCCCCAACACCCTACTCTACTTATTAAGGCCCCTCTTTCTGAATATCCCTCTTCTTCCGCACCCGTTTGGGCTTCGTGCTACCGAAGAGAGGCGCCAGGATGCAGTCAACCCGAAGCTCAGAGGCTGCGATGGGTCGTCAGAAAACGTATGTATATATGTATAAATAAATAAATAAATAGATAAATAGATAGATAAATAAATAAATAAATAAATAAATAAATATATATAAATATATATAAATATATATATATATATGAGCATAAGTTTATATATGTATACGTATATATATATATATATATATATACATACACACACACACACACGCACGCAGGCTTATGTTATGGCTAGAGGCTATAGGTGTATCTTAGGCTTGTCCTTTCCTGCGATTCCTGGGCGCCCTCTTAGCTGGGCCTCGGCCTCGACGCCATGGCTATGTGCCTCGGAGGGCGGCAGATGGTGCTGGAGAGAGACTGGGTTTAGGGTTTAGGGT